GGGGGCGTCCCACCACCATTTTTCAGGTTGAGGCTAGAGCTTGCTTCCTGTGCTCGTTGCTCGAGAGATCATATAGGAGGGAAGACTTGGTTCGTGCTTCCTCCATTCTGTTTTTAAACATTAATAAACATGCTCATGAATATTTTACTATAGAGCCTGCGTGCTCATGAATAGCCCTGTGTGGCCCCTTTTGTTTTAAACAATGTTTTCCGCTGCGTTATGAATTACTTATTATGTTTGTTTATGGATGTATATGTGTGAATGATATTCAAGACGCCTTGTATAATATGAATGTGTTGGACTGCGGTTGACCATTCGTATTGTACGGCGGGTTGTTGACGTGTCCGGGGAGGTCCGGGGCGTGACACTACTAGCTATCATGACCAAGTAAAAACCAATTTGAAAATCAAAAATTCAAATCAGTTTTATTTGATGCCACTTTAACTGATTTGAGAATTACTTTTCAAATTAATATGGTCCAGCCAAACTGCGTATCCTTCATTTATATTTAAAGAAATATAACAGAGGCCAAGGTTAATTAAACCGCAGAATTTGTGTCCAAAAATAAACGCCTCCAAACGGTCTATATTCATCCAAACGTTACTTGAGTATGTCTGGAAAAATATTTGAAGTTATATGTGATACTAAAACAATAATGTTTCTTATCACATAATATTTTTATATATAAAACGAGGCTGTTTATTTTATATGCTGACAACTAAATTCACTTTATAATATATCACTTTACAACCTGTGCAACTATGGATTCTATTCATTTAATGAAATAATCCAAACATGTTAGTTGTTCTTTGATATATGTATAATAAGCCTTCTTCTTCAATTCATATTTATACAATTATATCTTAGGAGTTATAAATAATAAAACTCCTCAAAGTAATATATTTCATCATATTTCCAACAATCACAGCATCACAATTTCAAGAGATCAAGTAAGAAATGTTCTTTTGAAGTTCAGAGTCACCACAACATATCATGTTGGAGAAGATGTCAAAAGCTGTCTACAATGCATTTCATATGGAGCAAAGGTATGCAAATTTAGATTAAGATAACATGCATACCCATGAGGAGTAAATTTGCTTATCAAATATACGGAGTAAATTAAATAACAAAGACATATCAGTGGGCAACCAATTAATTTCCAATTGGGCATATTCAAGACGATATTTGTATGCTTCTAACTTTGGGAAACAACTTGAAATATATCATCAAAACCAATTTTACTAACATTCATGCCAAAACTTTTAAGTGCTTACAAACTAATTACCTGAAAACGTAGAGGTTAACTCCTTTAAAAGTATGTTAATTGTCAAATTAGGAAGGGGTTTTATAATTGATGTTTTATTAGTTGATTTTATGTACATTGAATTCGATAGGAGATGTTAGACCCAATTCGATAGCCAATGCAATTAACGACCACATGATTATTAATGAAACATAAGTAGTTCATACGGAGTATATAAGAATCAATGACAAAATCAAAGTACCGTTATATACGTAGTACTCCCTCCGTCCCATAAAATAGTTCCCGCATTGACTTGGATCGGAGTTTAAGAAAGTGAGAATAAAGTGGAAATATATGGTTGTGGTTGTGTAAGAAAAATGTAAATGAATGTGAGCCACACAAAACTTTCCAAAAGAGGAAATGAGAACTATTTTTTTGGACGGTCCTAAAAGAAAATCGGGAACTATTTTGCGGGACGAAGGGAGTATATATTAATGGATTGCAAATATTCCCTGGGAAATTTTGATAATATCATCATATCATGCATAGTAGCTTCTCCAAAACACAAAATTATATAAATAAAGACATAAATACGGGATTAATTTTCCAAGTACATACATGTATCAATGTGTGTACATATTAATATACGGAGTATGTATATATGCATGTGGATGTTTATCGATAAAACAGGTTCTAATAATGAATATTAATAAAAATAGAGTACTTCTAGAATAATTTAAACCGTGAAGAGATCGAGAGACCAATATGAAAACCAAAGTGGAGAATATGAATACTGAAATCTAAATGCTTTGCTACTTGCTGCGATCAGCATTGGTTTTAAGGTTTATATTTTTATTACTCTGTATGACTATGTATGTACGTAGTACGAAGTATTTGATAAGAGCTCATTATCATGGTGTTATATGACTGGGCGTGTGCCTAGGACTGTATCTCAGGAGCTCAGTAAAGAACTTTAAATTTAAAAGTTACTCCGCATTTTTTATTTGCAACTTTAGTTTGTGTAATTAAGAATCTTCTATAATTTCTAAAAAATTGTTTACACTTCATTATTGATGGTAGGTTTGTGTTAATTCAGGTTCTCAATCTTTTTTTTTTCAGGTTCTCAATCTTTTATGCTATACGGAATTTGTGTCGGTCACAGCAATAAAGATTAATGTGGTTATCATCTTTTTTCATCAAATGTGTACTTCAACTTTTTTTTTTATTTTGATGTAATGATCCGAATTTTAATGATATTAATATAAACAGTTTTTCATTAAAAAAATGAAATACGTAGTATTTAGTACTCCGTACTACGTATATCAACAATTTCAATTGTAGGATAATATAGAAAAAGCAAAAACATTTTCTTTCTGTGCATCGCACGGGTACGATACTAGTAATAATTACAACTCTAGTCTTCTTATTTGATCACCTTCATCAATATAAATAAAATTACTCCAGCCTTCTAACAAATAACATACGGAATATATATGTAGACATTCCAGAAATCTTATTTGACCTTCATCATTTCGTGAGAAGGACTATATTGCATGGAAACACGAAAATTATGAGGAAACGGGAAGTGGGAAATGCCAACTTTTGCTCAAAAATCACTGATTTTAGAGTTTCCAAAGAGTTTTCGGGAGTTTACGAATTAAACGTGAAACATACTCTTTCCAGAGGGTTTGCCATGATACATAGGAGAAGGATAAACGCATCACTTGTATACGGATTTGGCATATGCGGGCTTTAGTGGGCTTACCAAAATCCGTACAAAAAATTCATGTCAATCCTTGCCATTTTTTAAAAATCTATGCCGAAATCACTTCCCGTTTTGGATATCCCTCAAAACTCCAAATGTAGAAGGCATCTGCACAAAACACGTGAATTTTGTTTTTTTTTTTGAAAGAACAAAAACTTTAGAACAATCATTCTTGATGCAAGTTAATTGAGTAAAATAAGTACACAAAGGCATAATACCGTCATGCTCATATTGTGTGGAGAGTTAGCTTTTGAAACTGACTGGTGCGTGGCCTTTATACACTACTCCTTTGATGCATCGGTGAACTAAAAGGCAGACATTCTAGCCGGCCACATAAATGTGTTGCACCGTTTACGAAATATTTCCTTTGAACTCAACATTTGTGTTCCAGAATTTTCTTTGAACCAAAGCACTAGTTAGCTTTAATAAGTCTGGCGCGCCACTCTCTCGTTCAGTTCTCAATAAAGACCTGAACTGGTGGGCGTAGCTCAACTGGTAGCAAGGGAGTGCCACAAGGGTTAGGTCTCGGGTTCGAATCCCGGCAACTACGATGGGGGGTTACTATGCTGAAAAATGCATAGGGCCTCTGCAAGTACCGCGGACAGAGCCCCACTCTCTATCTGTCAGATTGTGATTATAGTCCAATTTACATCCTCCCATCGTGCCGTCCGGTCGGTGTTGGGGGGCCCTCGGGGATGGGGACTCATCTTTTTTTTTTCAATAAAGACCTGAAAGCAATACTTTAGTCATTTAATTGTTAATAAAAGCTTATAGCTTTTTGTTTATTTAAATTGTTTTAATTTACTTGCTAAAACATGACTATTCTGGACTTATTTATATAACTTACAGACTATGTGATATTGCATTGCACGGGACAGTTTCCACATGCTAACAGTTGAGCATTTATTTCAATTTTATATTGGAATACCAAATGACAAATCAATGAATTAAAAGAAAATATTATATTTGCCTCACCACAAAATTTATCACGGTAAAATATATTTGGAATGCTAAAAGATGCCCAGAAATGTCCCACAATCAATGCTAGTACTAATTACTTCCATTAATAAAGAGCATTAAAACGTTATTCACAAAAACTATTCAACTTTAGGCGAGACCTTTCTCCACTTCCCGCTCAAACAGTTTGCTCCACTTTTCCGTTTTTATTTTATAATAAAACTACATTTTCACCCGTGCTTCGCACGGGATGCAGTTAGTAAGAAATAAATTATTTGCGAATATATAGAAATATTTAGATAAAAATAGATCAATGCATATATTATTTTTTACAAAAGTCAATGAAGAAAAAAGAAATTACTAATTATTATACAAAAATAGAACATTTACAGTCTTCTCTTGGTAGGTTTTCCGTCATCATCACATATTATAAACTTCAATCGAAATGGGGTCATTGCTCTTGAGACCGCAACGTAAAGTTGTTCACTTGTTCATGCATGGGTGAAAACCGGTCGGCGTAAGAATACACCAACCCTTTACAAAGATTGTCTCTGACTCTTGTAGATGATCATCACGTAACTAAGCATCAAAGGAAACTGCTTACACTGAAATGTAAACGATAGCTTTAGGTAAGATGGAGTCTAGCTAAGTTTCGTAATAAGAAACTTTTGAACTACATTTTTTCCTGACATCATCTGAGTCTCGAGAATATGTGTTCCAAGTTTAATGATGATAAGGTGAATGACATTACACAATATGAGAGAATGATCAATATTTCTCATTAGCACCACATGTCTACTCACTTTTAGTTTCAGTTCATGGCTTAGCACACCAAAACATTTAATTATTTTAGAAATTCTAAGAATGGATCTCTTGAAAGAGTGCATAATCCGAGTTAGAAGAAGATGCAGAATCCGTCACTGTAATTAATTATTAATGTTATTAGTTAATTCCAATTCTGGTTTAATATTTTTTTACTTTCATTTTCAATATGAAAAACAACATATTTATCACCATTAGTTCAAACAATATTTGGCATAAAGTAGTAAAGTTTAGCTTAATAATTTGCGTTTTGTTGAAATATAATTGAATTAGTCATCTTCCAACTATTCCTGATTAGGAATTATTATCACCATTACATAAATAATCAGGAAATCATAATTATGATTCTAGATGATAATTGTGTGGTTCACAATTATCCTCTAATCCTATGAAGCTTAACTTTTCTCCTATAAATAGGAGGCTTCTCCATTGTAATTAACACACCATGGTTACACCATTATCACACTCTCAATAATATAATCTATCACTAAGTGTTCATACTATATTTCTCTCCCTGATCTTCTGCTTATTTCCTTCCATATTATAACACGTTATCAGCACGAATTTGCTCCATATCCTCGAAATCATCATCTTCCCAGCAGGTATATATTTAAATTCATCTGAAAAGAAAATCAGAGGTTGAGAAGTATGAACATGATTGAATATATTCAAAACTATAAAAAGTATACTCTATGGTTGCCCAAGAATTGGATCCTCCATATCAGAAAATTATACTAATAGATATGTAGTATATTTTATCTATAAAAAAAAATATACGATGAAGGGAAAAGGATAAACATATCTTTATATTATCTTTAATTATACTGCTCCTTTATTAAAATCTGAACTTTTATTTCCATATGAATTTACATCACTAATTCTCACTTATATATGTATATACGGAGTATATAATATGAATATGGATCTATATACTTCGTATATGATAATAAGATGTTTATAGGTATAACCATAGATAAACCATAAACATGAAACTATGAAAGTATATACTACCGTATAAGGAGAGAACTCACTAATACGAAACCGGCCTGCTCTTCTTGAATTAACCGTTGTGCTTTACGAACCTCGGAAATTTTTTCTTGATGGAGCTTCTAAAATACTCCGTAAATCTTCCACTATTGTATAAAAATCGAACTAAAAGCAGAAATAAAGAATAGAAATTAAAATACGATGAATTGAGATTACTACATAACTTTTCAAGTAGTGTAGTTTTTCTTCTTCAAACGTATGAATATACTCCGTATAAAACCTCTTCCGATTCAGACTTTAGAAGAGTAGTAGAATAGTACTACATCTAATTAAGCTGCTTCCATACACTAATCATGTCATACATGATAGAAGACTAGCTAGAGGAACACATGGATCAACTGTGCCTCTGAAAATAAGAATGATGTAATAAGAAAAGAACTGCCAACAAGGCACGAAAATATATAGAAGAAGCAACTGATATATTTCTTACGGAGTATATAAGCTAGCGTGACCACATTCAATTCACGAGTCTTATGACTCTGATCCCTTCACATGTAATCGATAATAAACGATTACTCTATAAAATTCAGGTGAAATAAATGAGATGATAATGTTCTGACAAACTCATACCTCTCATACCGACATATCCATGAGAGTACCATAACTACCATTAATGCATTAAAGAAAAACAAAACTGTAATCTATAGTTGTATGTATTGCATGTGACTTTTTCTTTCATTTTTTTGGCATTGTCTGACGTGGGCTCACGCCGCTCACCTGCTCAAAGTGCATACATTATTGGTTGGTTATAAATTAAAGTTAATAATAATGCAAGAGAAAGAAAAAGAAATTGCATGTATTTTTTATCAACCCTACAAAATAATTGGGAGGCTCATAGAAATTAAATACTCCGTGTCTCCGTATGTATAGTAAAATTAATAATACTCCTTACTACTACTCCATATTTCATACTCCGTACAAAATAAAAATAATAGATTGTATAATATGTTGATATGTATAAATATATACATATACAGATATACTAATAAATACGTAGTAAAGGAATGAAAATAAGAGGATGAGAGACCCATGAGGTAGAATGCATGTAGTGAAATTTTATGTGCGTAAAGGAAATGATAGTCCATACACTTGTTGCCTTGTTGGCCAACTCGTTCTGATTGTTATCAATAAATAATGCATACAGATAGTAGTAATTATATTATACGGAGTACTAATAAATTGAGTTATCAATTTATACCATACGGAGTACGTAGCATATATGTATACGTACCGACTACTCAGAACAATCAATGATTTTGGAATTGTCTTGACATTATTGATGTGTATTACTACCGTATTTGTGAAGTGAATCCAAAAACAACATGTTATTCCCATCTCTTTAAATGTCTTAATATATATATCAAAACAATTTATTAACTATAAGTTACGAGCATAAGTTTTGTACTTTAACTTTTGGTTATCGAGTTGCATGATCTCTGATGGTTAAGATGGGCCCCTTAACAATTGGTATGACAGTAACTTGAACTAAAACGGTCATTATGTACGTTTATGTCAATTGCCGGAAATAACCCCTCATAACGGCACTCATGATTGTTTTTAATCTCAAATGATGAAGTAGAAATTAATAAGAAGTAAATGTGAGCTAAATTACTTCTCTTATTAAAAGTCAGAATAAAGTACTTCTCCTTGTTATGTAATATATGGAGTATGTTTGGACTAATATTTATGCACAATTAAATGTATTATTAAGTGAAGTACAATTCATATTACAATATTGAACTATTATTTGTTCATTTTTATATTCTCGAAGATAACTGAAATTTCTCCAAGTGGTTTAGAACAATGTCTAATAGACAGCACCAAACGCACACCATTTTGAGACATAGAGATTATTTTTCTCATATGACATTAGTTGATGCTAATGTCAATACAATCTCAGGTGTTGCTAAACTCATTGAAGGTTCTGGAATAGCCTGTGTGATTCTCCCAAAAGGGACAAAATTAATAATTAAAGACGCTTTATACTCCAGTAAATCACGGAGAAATCTTTTGAGCTTTAAAGATTTGCGTCTAAATGGTTTTCATATTGAAACCATGTCTGAAAATCAGAAGGAATATTTATGTCTAACGACAAATAGATCTGGCAATAAATACATTTCTGAAAAAATGCCAGCATATTCCTCGGGACTGTATTATACATATATCAGTCCAATTGAGATAAATGTGGTATCTAAAATTTATGACCACAATTCCTTTATCTTGTGGCATGACCGTTTAGGTCATCCAGGCAGCACTATGATGCACAAAATTATTGAAAATTCACGTGGACATTCATTAACTAATGTCAAGATTCCACAATCAAGTGATTTTCCGTGCACTGCCTGTTCTCTTGGCAAATTAATTATCAGGCCATCTTTATACAAAATTGGAGTTGAATCTCCTGCATTTTTAGAAAGAATTCAAGGAGATATTTGTGGGCCAATTACCCCTCCGTGTGGACCGTTTCGATATTTTATGGTGCTCATTGATGCATCAACACGTTGGTCACATGTCAGTCTTTTATCGACTAGAAATTTTGCATTTGCAAATCTCCTTGCTCAAATTATTCGTTTGAGATCACAATTTCCGGATTATTCGATAAAGAAAATCCGACTTGATAATGCAGGAGAATTTACATCCCAATCTTTTAATGACTATTGCATGTCAATTGGGATTGATGTGGAACATCCAGTTCCACATGTACATACACAAAATGGTCTTGCCGAATCCTTAATTAAGCGATTACAATTAATTGCTAGACCATTATTGATGAAATCCAGATTACCATCATCTGCATGGGGATATGCTATAATGCATGCTGCAAATTTAATTCGGCTTAGGCCAACGGCATATCATAAATTTTCCCCATTACAATTAATATCTGGTAAAGAACCAAATATATCACACCTAAAAATATTTGGTTGTTCTGTGTATGTACCAATTGCTCCACCTTATCGTACTAAAATGGGTCCTCAAAGAAGGCTGGGAATTTATGTTGGTTTTAAATCACCCTCAATTATTAATTATCTAGAACCTATGACCGGTGACTTATTCACCGCGCGGTTCGATGACTGTCATTTTGATGAGACAGTATTCCCAGCCTTAGGGGGAGATATTAAAGAAATGGACCCACGTACGAAAGATATTACTTGGAATGCAACAAATTTATCTTTTCTTGATTCTCGCACAAATGCTTGTGAACAAGAAATTCAAAAGATTATTCATTTACAAAATGTTGCAAACCAATTGCCTGATGCTTTCACAGACTCAAAGAAAGTAACAAAGTCACATGTTCCAGCTATGAATGCTCCTTCTCGAATAGAAATTCCTGCGGAGATTAGCGAAAGAACACTTGCTAATGAATCTATGATACGTAAAAAACGTGGTAGACCACTTGGTTCAAGAGATTTGAAACCAAGAAAATTTAAACAGCAAGTTGTAGTTTGTGATGCCAAAGAAGTTCAACCTTCTCAAGAAGAAAATGAACATTTTGAAAATATCGGCCTTGAAGATAACATCAATAATAATGATACCTCAAAAGAGGATCCAATCACCTTCGAAGAGGTAAATATTCCAGATAAAGATAGAAACGTCGATAATTTTGAAATTTCAATTAATTACGTTTCTAATGGAATACAATGGAATAGAAATGATATTGATGTTAATGATATATTTTCATATGCCATCGCCACAGATATAATGAATGAACACGATGACAATGAGCCTAAATCTATTGACGAATGTCGTCGTAGAAATGATTGGCCAAAATGGAATGAAGCAATTCAGGTAGAATTAAAATCGCTAGAAAAGCGTAATGTTTTTGGACCAATTGTCCATACGCCAAAAGGCGTAAAACCTGTCGGTTTTAAATGGGTTTTTGTGCGTAAACGCAACGAGAAAAATGAAATCGTTAGATACAAAGCCCGACTTGTTGCCCAAGGTTTTTCTCAAATGCCAGGAATCGATTATGATGAGACGTATTCTCCAGTAGTTGATGCTACAACTTTAAGATATTTAATTGGCATGTCTGTTTTTGAAAGGCTGCAAATGCGCCTCATGGATGTGGTGACCGCATATTTATACGGTTCACTCGATACAGACATATATATGAGAATTCCTGGAGGCTTTAAAATACCTGATGCTTATAGCTCGAAATCTCGAGATTTATTTTCCATAAAATTGCAAAAGTCATTATATGGATTAAAACAATCTGGACGCATGTGGTATAACCGTCTCAGTGAATATTTGATTAAAGAAGGGTATAAAAATGATCCTATTAGTCCATGTGTTTTCATTCAGCGATCCGAATCAGGATTCGCCATAATTGCAGTATATGTTGATGATTTGAATATAATCGGAACTCCTAATGAAATTGAAAATACTGCAAATTATCTCATGAAAGAATTTGAAATGAAAGACCTTGGGAGAACAAAATTTTGTCTCGACATTCAAATTGAACATTTGAGAAATGGTATTTTCATCCACCAATCAAATTATACCGAGAAACTTTTGAAGCGATTTTACATGGATAAAGCACATCCACTCAATTCTCCAATGGTGGTTCGATCTCTCAATGTGCATGATGATCCTTTCCGACCTTGTGAAGATGATGAAGAAATCCTTGGTCCCGAAATACCATATTTGAGTGCTATTGGAGCATTAATGTATTTGGCTAATAATACTCGACCAGATATTGCTTTTTCTGTAAATTTATTAGCCAGGTATAGTTCTTCCCCAACAAGAAGGCATTGGAATGGTGTCAAACATATATTCCGATATCTCAATGGTACAATCGATCTTGGATTGTATTTCAAGAATGGTGCAAATGCCACTTTAATTGGCTACGCGGATGCAGGATACTTGTCTGATCCACAAAAGGCAAAATCACAAACAGGATATTTATTCACCTATGGTGATACCGCTATATCATGGAGATCAATGAAGCAAACATTAACTGCAACATCATCAAATCATGCAGAATTAATTGCTCTTTATGAAACAAGTCGTGAGTGTGTCTGGTTGAGATCAATGATCCAGCACATACAAAATGAATGCGGTATAAAATCTTTTACTTCTAATCCTACTGTGATTTATGAAGATAATACAGCATGTATAGCTCAGATCAAAGGAGGTTACATCAAAGGGGACAGAACAAAGCATATAGCACCAAAACTTTTCTCCACACATGATCTTGAGAAAGACGGAACGGTTGATGTCAAACAAATCAAGTCATGCGACAACCCTGCTGATTTGTTCACAAAGTCATTGGCACCGAAGAAATTTGAAGAACTGGTCCATAAAATTGGAATGTATCGTCTTCGAGATATATGTTAAATTGAGGGGGAGTAATATAATGCACTGCACTCTTTTTCCCTTCGTCAAGTTTTTATCCCACTGGGTTTTTCTTGACAAAGGTTTTTAACGAGACAGTACATTATAATACTATGAATCTAATACCCCAGAATAATTAGAAGATGACCATTCAAGGGGGAGTGTTGAAATATAATTGAATTAGTCATCTTCCAACTATTCCTGATTAGGAATTATTATCACCATTACATAAATAATCAGGAAATCATAATTATGATTCTAGATGATAATTGTGTGGTTCACAATTATCCTCTAATCCTATGAAGCTTAACTTTTCTCCTATAAATAGGAGGCTTCTCCATTGTAATTAACACACCATGGTTACACCATTATCACACTCTCAATAATATAATCTATCACTAAGTGTTCATACTATATTTCTCTCCCTGATCTTCTGCTTATTTCCTTCCATATTATAACACGTTTAAGTATAATATTAAAATACACTACTATAACCATGAAAGTATAAAACTTAACATAAGCATGAATTGAATTATAATGATTTATTAATTGTACTTTATAAATTTCAAATAGATAATATATCTGACATTTATCTGCTCATGAGATGTCTATATATTTTTTATCAAATTAACGTATGTGCACCCAGAAGTAAACTTTTTTGGATACAGTTGTTATTATTGCACACGTTTCTACTTTTTTTCATGGGTTGTTTTAATAATAAATTCATGAAATCATCTTTTTAAGAAAAGAATAGATAAACATGTAAATCTATGTTGAAACTGAAAAAGAATATGATAGTATTAGGAATGAGACGTATAAGTCCATATAAGGATGTTTTTACGTGGACTGTAATTTGCCCCAGACCAGACCAGACTTGGATAGTTATAAAAATACAAAGAAACCAGACCTTACCAGATCACACCAGACCAGTCCAGATCAGACCAGACCAGACCAGACCAGCAAATTACAGTCCAAGTAAAAACATCCTAAGTCTTTGGCTACTCTTACCTTGGCATTTGGCAATTTGGCATTGACATGAAATAAGCACTTATATCATTCCATATAAGAATACGATAGTATTAGGAATGAGACGTATAAGTCCATATAAGTCTTTGGCTACTCTTACCTTGGCATTTGGCAATTCGGCATTGACATGAAAAAAAAATCATGTGAAAATTATCAAAGCATTTGAGGTACTTACGTGAGCTTAATATGAAAAAAAAATTATGCTAAGACTTCCCTTGTATGCCCATTACATTGTTCCTCTACACATTGCAATTTATTATCTTATTTAAAAAAAAAAATGATGCACAAATTTGTTTATACACTTCTTTTATTATTAAAAGTAAAAGAAAACAAACTTTTGGGATCCCGAAAAAAATGAGAAATTGAGAGAAGGGGGGGGGCATGTAATCAATATGGGATGACAATTTCATTTGCATAAGTAGTTGGCCAGGTAACCACAACGGATTAACTACAAATACAATTCATAGATTAATTCACACATCTAAACATATTGTACAAATTAAATTGCAGGTTTTCAGTGCTGGGGGAGCAGGTGTTGTCATATCAAAGCATTCAAATACTGACATCATCCATTATACTCGGAGTATTAGTTTTACAGGGCATCATCTATATAGCCTAACAAAGAGTACATTGAAGAGGAGCTTAGACTATATGAAAAAGAACATCTGTTATCCATAATACCAAAACATTCCAATACCAACATCATCCATTATATTGGTCTTACCGTGTACAGGGCATCATCTATACACCCTAAAAAAGAATACATTGAAGAAAGAGGTGCCTATAGAAGATGGAAAAGAACATCTACTATCCCATGAAAGTCTTGCATTGCATTCTTGAAGCAAGAAGTACTGGTCTTCTCTCATGTGAGTAGACATACCAGCTAATGATTTGCATTTTTATCAACACCAAATGGAGTGATTTGGGAATAAATCCAATCCACTGCAATCAATTTGTGTTGGAAATTAAAAACTACTTAAAATCATAACGGTTTGGAGTTTAAAAAAACATTGGAGCAATTAACTTTGTTATTAACTAATAAGTACATTTCCAGTAAAACTAAATAATAATGAAAGATACACAAATTTAGTTATATTTCCAGTAAAACTAAATATTTTTTTTTGCAAGAAAAACTAAATAAAATTAAACATTGTAAAGTAACATTTAAACTCGGGCTTGGAGAATACAACTAAAATATGGATCATTAAATGTACTTGTCTCAAGACCCACTAAATAATTTGATGGTGGAAGATTAAAACTTTTTTAAAAAGCATTCTTAATTTAATGAATAACACAATTGGTCACGATTACAACATGCCATATGGTTTATATTTTCAACCTATCTTAAGGTTTGTAAATTTAAATACTTTTAAGAGTGGCTGGACATCATTTTGTTTCAAGGAAATACTCAAACATTTCCAAATGGATAGATCAAACATAGCTTTATAGACATACTATCTTCTAAGCAGAGATTACAATTCTATGATACCTGGACCAAAGTTTAGGCCATACTTCCTCTGCTCCTACTTAAAAAGGGAAGAAAATAACAAAAATTACAAATTTACTACTAAAAATAAAGTCATGGTAGTCAAGAAATTAAGATGTACTGAGTAGGACAACTACTATCTAATGCTCCATGGGCTACGCATACTTGGCTAAAATGGAAATTAATTCAAACTTGATAATTATTGTTAGCCATGTCCTACTAAAGGATGTATAGCCAATGCTTTAATCCAATGTTGGAAAGTATTCGGTAAACTTAAATAAAATTCTTTCAAGCAAAGACAAAATTCAAAGAAAAACGATCATATTTGAATGGAATGAAAGAAAAATGGGGATCCAAATCTGAAGTTAACAGAGTGACATAGGGAAGAGATTGCAAACAAACATGGATTGGATTGCAGAGAGATTGTCAAATTATTGAAGTGTGAAGTAAACATTGAAAAGGATGGAATGAATGAGTCATGGGGAGAAAAATATAAATGTTTGAGCAGTAGGTCTGAATTAATGCAATAGTGAGCTGGAGGTTAATGGTTACTGACCCTTGAGCAAGAAATTAAACTTTCCACAAATGATTCCTATTATGTAGAACCGTACAAAGGATTAACGGTGAAACCAAGCTACTAAACTTATTGATCAACCCTAGATAATTCTTAAAGTTCAAGTCACTGGAAGTTTTTAAAACAAATAGTAACAAACCTGTAAGAATCTTATACGCCAGGCTAAGCGTATGCAAAGAAATACTTGACATTTTTATAATCGGGGCTAAAAGTAATTTAAAGCACTATCACATCAGCAAATAACACAAACATATATCAACATATTTGAATTGATTTCGGTTTCTTTTCATGAATGTACTGTAATCATATAGAAGGAGAACTTAATGCAATTTCAGCATCTTAGGAGGATTTATCTCAAGGCTAATCGATTTGTTTGGGGAGAAAGGTGAAGGCCTTCAACAATTTCCGGTAAAGATGATGAGAAATCAACTGAATGATTTCTTTGGCTAAGGGATTTGTGTAGGATATAAGCTAAAATGATTTCTGACGGAAGCCGACGGAATGAAATCTAAAGGAAGAAGGCAAATGAAGGTGGATGATTTCAGATTAAGCGGACGGGTGAGAAACAGAGATCCGAAAAATAAAAATTGAGGAGTAAGGAGTTGTTAAGTATACATGAGCTGTAGATCTATAATCGGATCGTGCGGCTAAAAGATGTGCGGGAAAAATGCATATCCATAAAGTAGTGCAATTATATAGGATGATTTAAATTATTTATTACAATTGCTAAATAAGGTAATTTTATAGCGTTTTATTTTCCAAGATGACAAATTGGGATGATTGCTGATGTCTGAATAATTTATAATACTTTTAAAATGTATAATATTGAATGTTACTACTACTATTACGCTTATGTGCAAGGAGTCAAGGACTTAATTCAGAATGAATGAACTTCCTATACAATCTGAGATATATCAATCTCTTCATCCACATAAAGTGATAAAGGTGTGCTATTTGAGGCCAATTGCTTCACCTCATAAACAGAATAGAGAGAGAGAGAGCTTTGTTTAATTATCATATCGTTTAAAGAAGTTGTTTCAAAAAATCAATTGAAGCGGCTACATTTTATGAATTACTCCTTCATCAATTACTTTTTGGTATCAATTCGTTCACTTTTAAGAACCTAAATGTTAAATCCCCACCCCCACCCCTCAGATGAACTCATTCACAGCCATCCTCTCAATTTATTATAATCATGTATGCTGTTGTAATAGAAGTTACTATAAATACTCAGTCACACAACCACTGATGATAAGATTTTAAGGTTTAAATTAAAAACCCATTCCCCCACATTTACTAAATATGTGTGTGCTTTTGTCTTTACAAATACGCACTGCATAGTGCATACTGGGTGATACAAAAACAGATGATATGTTAAGCAAAAAAACATGCCAAGTGGGTTTTTTTTATAGCTGACTATCAACCATTAAGTATATTTTATGAACTATATGAATCAGAAATCGAAATGAAGAAGAAGAAATTACCATGTGTGCTTACGTTGTGCAGAACTAATAGGGACAGAAGTGAGAGATTGAATCAGCTGCAACGAAGGTGAACAAAATAGTTGTGGTAAAATGTAGTTTGTATTTTGTAATAGTTGCTGAATTGATAGAGAGAGATGAACATAATCCAAAAGAAGTGACCAAAGGAGGAAATGAAAAAAGTCTGAGCCGTATATCTAACGAAGAAGGCTGAAATGCTTTTGAAACTCGAGCAGGAAAATGACATTTTAATGAAATAGTGCTATCATGTAGAAATTTTTTTTTCCCATATCCCACTCAAGTATAAAAAAAGTCATACTCACAAAAGCAAAGTCATGATATACTGCTATTATGCGTCTTAATTGACATATTTTGGTTTAATTTTATTTAAAAAATAAAGATAGATGACTTAAGCATTATATGAAACATAACATATGCATAATTTGATAGTACCTATACTGTAGAATATGGATTCAGCTCCACAATAACCACTATTGCATCAATGTCTAGGATCAATCAAGTCAAAATGCTCAATATTAACTCACTTATATATACACAGAACACTCACTTTGGCATTGGAAGCCTCATGGTCATTCCACAGACCATGTGTCAGTAACACCCAACCTTCCATCTTTACTCTTTGTTATGAGATATTCCCACATTTGCAATAGCTATTTTCTTGAATCTTTCATATAAAAACAATCCATATCAATTTGCAAGAAAAAGAGAAGTAACTTTCCTCTCTAATTAGCAGTAGTCGAAAAAAAATAGCAATGAATAATCTAATAGCAATGGATATTAGATGAGATATGTGCAGACTCTACATTTTATGCCATTCCATATTCTTTGCCCTTTAGGGGGCCTTTATGTTCTAATAGCAATGGATCAACAAACTTACTTGATGGCGGAAGACA